AGGTTCTGTGGAATGGAAAGGAGGGCATGAGCTTCAAACCGTCACATGGGGTGAGACAAGGCGATCTGTTCAGCCCTTATCTTTTTGTTCTTTGCATGGAAAGGCTCGGACACCTGATATCCACTAAATGTCAACCCAAAGATGGAAACTACTCAGCTTTAAAAAGGATGGACCTAAAATTTCTTACCTTTTCTTTGCCAATGACTTACTGCTATTCACCGAAGCCTCAACAAGACAAATGAATATCATTAAGCAAGTGATGAAGAGATTCTATAAGGTCTTGGGTCATAAGATTAACCTGGACAAATCCAAAGCCTTCTTCTCTAGGAATGTCCACATGAACAGGGCTTTGAATTTAAGTCGAACGCTTGGAATTGGAATTACTCCTGATCTGGGAGAATACCTTGGTGTTCCTCTTATTCACTCACGAATAACGAAAGACACCTTTAGGCACATAATCAAAAAGGTTTGGACTAGGCTAGCACTCTGGAAAGGGAGATACCTAACTATGGTAGGGAGAACCATGCTCGTCAAAGCGATGGTGTCAGCCCTCCCATCTTACCAAATGCAGTCCACGTTATTGCTAAAGGGGGTGCTGAAAGAAATAGAGAAAATCAGTAGAAATTTCTTATGGTGCCAAGATGAAACGATGAAAAAGATGTACCTGATAGCTTGGGAAAAGGTCATCAGAAGCAAGAAAGAAGGCGGTTTGGGTGTAAAGAATTTGGAACAACAGAATAAGGCTTTCATAATGAAACTTTGTTGGGATTTAATCACACAACCTAAGGATCTATGGGTGTGGTGTCTACGAAGTACCTATGACTGTGGAGAGGAGGCAATACCCTTGGTGAACAGAGGCAGGTATAACTCAATCACTTGGAAGGCAATTATCTCTGTCTGGGAGACCTTTTTAACTAGGATTGGTCGATGTATAAATGATGGTCAATCCACAAAATTTTGGTGGGACAGATGGGCCCCGCTGGAAGCACCACTCATTCACTATACGTCGTGTAGCCTTGAGCACATTAATGAATATGAGACAGTAGCAAATTTTAGACTACCTAATGGTGGATGGGACGTGAATCGATGGAAAAGTTTATTTCCAACATGGGTGGTACATATTCTGGCAAGGATAAAACCCCCAACAATTGATAGACCAGATTTTTTTGTTGGAAAAGTGCGTCTGACGATAGATTCACAGTCAAAGTATCTTACAACTTCTTGGTTCATTCAGGAGGGACTACCGGTCAAGGACAATGGTCGGGTTTTTGGCATTGGCTAGCATATACCAGAAAAAATAAAATTCTTCCTTTGGCAAGCTTCCCAAGAGAGATTGAGCACGAACACTCTTAGAGCAAAAAGAGAGTTGACTCATATAGATAAATGCCCTTGTAGTTGTAATAGAGAGGAAACCATATTACATACCCTAAGAGATTGTGTGAGGGCAAGAGAGGTGTGGTGTTTCTTCCTTAATCCTAACAAACAACATATGTTTTTCTCTTGTGATTTACAAGTGTGGTTAAAGAAGAATGGGAGCTCAAATCCTAGCAGAGCTCGCTTTCACCAATGGCCATGGACAAGAATATTCAGCCACGCGTGTTGGCTAATATGGAAGGCACACTGCAAACAGCTTTTCAGCGAAGGCATCCCTTCAAGCCTTGAGGTGCAACAACAGTGTCTCTTTCATCTTATGGAGGAAGTAACTATGGGAACTCTATCCCATAAACTGCTCCAACACAATCATGAGAGAAGCTGGACGCCACCAAAGAAGGCGAAGTGAGACTTGATGTAGATGCGTCTATTCGACAGTACAGCCAAGCGACATGCGATGGGGTCATACGAGACGCAACAGGAGAGTGGATTATGGGATTTGAAAAAGCACTTGGAGCTTACCCGGTCTCAACAGCTGAAATCCTAGCTATCAAGACCGGGCTCGAGGTCTGCAAAGGACTTCATATTAGTGACATACATGTGTATTCAGACTCACTGGAGGCAATTAATATGTTGATAAAAGATAGCAGAACCAACCACCCTTTTAAAGAGGAAATAGAGGAGACCAGAAAACTCTTGTATGAGGAGTGGAATGTGATCATTTCACATGCAAACAGAGAGAATATCCACTGTGCTGACAGCATGACTCGAACAGTGCAAGTCGCAAGTCAGGATGTCATCCTATATCCGGAAATACCAGCATGGTGCCGGGAAGGATTTTGGAGAGACAAAAGAACGATGGCGGGGGGCTAGCTGAAGCTGTTGTTTTTTATCCTTTTGTACTTTCAAGCGTTAGCTTGCCGTTTGTAACCAAAAAACAAAAAACATCCCCCCAAACCCAAAACACCCCCCCTCCCAAAAACAAAAAACCTCGGCCCAACAGGGGCAAGCCTGGCGGCCTTACCTGAATCTGGAGTTACGGTGCGGCGGTCACGAATGACGGATTCTTCTGCTCCATCTTTGACCTTCCACCCCACAAACCCTAGCCCCAGGATGTTCAATCCTCCCTGCAATTCGCCACCCGACCTTTCAACAGCCCTCTCATCCCTGAACAACCTCATTCACCTCTCGCACCGCACCTTCTATTCTCTCCCCTCTCTCTTGCGACCGCACTCACAAAACCCTAACCCCAATCTCGTACAATGCCCTTTCAATCATCACCACCTGATGCCTCCTGAATTCCTTTTTCTTCACTACCTCCGTTGCCCTTCCTCTCCTCACCCTCTCCCCAATCCCGACGACCTCCTTCATTCTCTCTCTTACCCCAAAACCCTCCAGTTCAATGATCGTTGTCGCCAGGACAACTGCTTCCAACAAACTCTCCATGATCCTCACGCTGAACTCTTATTCTCTTTGGAGGATTACGTCGACGTTGGTTTTAACTTCTTTTACCATGATTGCCCGGGTGTGGTTACTTTGTCCGATGTGGATGCTATGAAGAGAACCTTTACGCTTCCTGGTATATTATCAATTGAATGCTTTGGTTTTGTTAAGGCTAATGACATAGAGATTAAGTATTCTGAGCGAGAGCATTTGGGAATTCTTCCCTCCGAGTACTGGACTATCAAGAAAGAGGTCGACGCTTGGGATGATTATCCTACTACATGCTCGCATGGTGTTCTTCGTGCGATTGGAGGTGTAGGAATTACTAAGGCATGTGATTTCATGAGATGGATAATGGCAAATTCGCCCAGATATGGTGTTGTGATTGATATGCCTATGGGACAGCATATATTTTTACTGTTTAGTTTATGTTTGAAGTCGATTCTTAGAGAAGCTTTAAATACATTGGATGTGTTGAACAATCAGCTTTTGGAGTTAGATTGCTCCGAGTGTCCTGTTTTGGTTCGGTCATCGGCATGGTTAACATCACAAATTTCAATTTTGTATGGTTCAACGAAGGGAAAGCTATTTGTTCTTGATTTGCTTAAGATGTGTACTTTAGACGGTGCATCAGCTCTGTTGTTGTATACCTTTGGGAAAGCTGACATTGAAGCCCCCCCATTTAAAGAAAAGTTTCGGAATCAAAATATTGCTGGCATGGACATGAAGGGCGCAAAATATGACATTCTGCAAGAAGGAAATGCACACTCTGGGCAGAACAACGTTGTGGATGGAACTATTTGTAGCTGTAATGTCTCCATATCCCAAGTTGCAGCAGCTATTGCAGCATTGCATGAGCGATCTTTGCTTGAAGATAGAATGAAGAGACTGTGGTTCTCTCAGCAATCAAACAAATTTCAGCTGTATGTTGCTTACACATTTCAAACCCCCCAAAAGAATAACCTCATGAAGAAGATTTACAGAATTTAAAAATTACTGGGGAGTCCAAAAGAGATTTAATATATCTGTTATACACATCCCAAATGTTCCAAATTCACAGAACTTGGGAAAAAGGTTCATGATTTATGATTATGCAAATTCCAATCATCAATTTGTAATCTCGAGCTGAACATAACTAACCTTAGACTCTTCTGGATAGTTGCAATTTCGTTACAGATTACATATTTTCATTGTAGAATTGTTACCTAATCTTTAGCATTCTGCATGTTTCTTTTCCACCAGTTGGCTACTATGTCCGTGCTCTACATGTTGTTTTTTCTTCTAAACAATTAAGAGATGTGACTGGTCTGACACTCGCGGACATCATGTTTGATTTGCCCCTGATTATTATAAACTAAGTTATTGTGAATACTATGTCCGAAAATAAATCTTTTATATTTTATCTTTTTCCATTAGGGTTGCTGAGCATTGTTATTTGACTGAGAAAGCGAATGAGGAGAGGAAGAAGAGGCCTAATTATAGAGCTGTGATTGACTACGATGGGCTTCCTCGACAGCAATCATCTAACATGGTAAATTTAATCAGATGTGAATGAGCAGCGGAGCTTTCTGATCTACATTTGCCTGAATCATGTTTTATGCATAATGGGATGAGCTTTTACTTCTTTTGGCCTTGTTTAGAGCACCGAAAGTAAAAATGACTGGGATGAACTAGTTTGCTTCAATGATGTGTTGGACCTTATTCTAAGTCTAAAATTCTAAGTCTAAAGCTCTTCATATGACATCAAAGGATTGCTAAGATACATTTGCTAACTGCCTTCCTTACGGAGTAGCACAAAATGTCAATAACATTAGAGAAACTAATTCTAAATATTTATTGATGCTCTTTTTTTATCTGATGTACTCCACACTACATGTACTTAATATACATAAACTTTCTGTTGGTTACAGGGAACAACCGGAGTGAAGACACGGGAGGAGTTACTAGCTGAAGAAAGAGACTACAAACGTAGAAGAATGTCTTATCGTGGCAAGAAGATAAAGAGATCAACTGTACAGGTCAGAATCAGATGAAAATTTTTTCTACAAGCATAGCTTGAATAGTACCATGATGCATCATTTCTTGTATAATTTGACTATGAAAATTTTAATCCCAGCTATTCAGTAAGCTCTATATTCATTTCTGTTCTCCTTTTGAAGGTGATGAGGGATATAATAGAGGAATACATGGAAGAGATCAAGCAGGCGGGAGGTGTTGGGAGCCCTATGAAGCAATCTGATGAGAGTGGGATGTTGCCATTGGAATCTCTTTCCCGCCGTGACATGGATATTGAAGCAAAGATATTAAGAAAAGGCAGTCGTGAGTCATCTGTGGCAACAGTTTGTAATCCAAGTCATTATGAACAGAAATCACGAACTATCTATTGTGACAAAAGCAAAGCTGTCGAGATCCTAGAGGATGCCTCTCCTAGAGATTATGAACAACCTAGACAAGGACATTCCAGAAAGCATGGATATATAGAAGCTCATGGGAATACTGTCCATGCACGTTATGGTAGAAAACATGCTTCTGGCGGCCCTGAAGGACCAAATAGTTATGGCCCATCAAATGACAGTATCAGTTGTCATAGAAAACATGATTATTCAAGGAGGAAAAAGTATGATGAGAAGTCGAGATCCAGAGATAGGTGGCAAGGGAACTCTCACAGGAATCATGATTATGATTCTCCCTTGAAAAGGGCATTTGAGGATCGATATGATCCTTCAGAATCTCTTGATCTCTATGAAGATAATGTCTCCCCCGGTACTAAAAGATAAACTGTGGTGACAGCCATCATGTACACTGTGTTCGCTGGAACTCTGAAGGGACAGCGTCCAGAGCAGGTAACTTTTTTTTTTTTTTGGGGGGGGGTTTATATATACTATCTGGCTTTAACTTCTGTATGGATTCCAGAAAGTTCTACATTTTGATGCGGTTATTTGCATAACTTTGCAGTAAGAAGTTATCTGGCTTCAGCATATGACTGTATCCTCCTTTGTATCCTTAACTGTGAATTTTGTTCATTTAAGCAAATTTTGCTGTGACTTACGGTTTTGTTCATTATGTTCGTCATTTTTTTCTCTTAGAGGGAAGCAATAAGAAATGGGAATCATAGCAACAATCTATCATCATGCAATAAATCTACGTTGAAGTTTTTAGGATCAGTGGCGTCTTAGCTCAATTTATGATTGTTTTACTTTCATGTCACACAAAAAGAATCAGTTATGTCTTTTCTTTATGAATGGAATCATGTTGGACAGAAGTTATATGCTTTTTTTTTTTTTTTGGGTGTGCTGATATTCTTTGCTTTAGATATTGAACAACTAAACTTCTAACGTGTGTTCCTCATTTTGTTGCTTTGGATATTGGTATGCAACAGCAACAGTGGGCACCTGTAAACTTCATCGTATTTCGGATATCTTAGCGAGCAATGATAGGAAATAATATGTACTTGCCTCTCCTTGCATATTTTGTCGTCAACATTAGCTTGCCCGCATCCTACCGTTCCATATCACATGTCCTTAGACTACACTTCGAATACTTGATGCATGCAAAAGGCTGGTCGCGTTTCGTTTGTTAGCCAGCTGTGATTTCATGGCAACAAAATGAATCTGAAACGAAGCGCATGTTCCAACAATACCTGAAACTGTGATTAATTTCTTGAAATGTTTGTTACTTTCTTTTGCGTTGATTTCTTGCTTGATACAGGATAATCTTTCAATTCTTCCCGTGGTTAACTCAGGTTTTTGTTCGCCTTTTTACCTTCAGAGCTGCAGAAATCTTTCCTTTGAGTTGACTCGGTCAATTGTTTAGTTTATTGTAGACAGCCAGAAATGGAGCTCGTGTTACTGCTTGTATAACATGCCTGGAGATGGGTCTTGGAGGGGAGATTAATTCACCATGAGAAAATGTTCTTGAATCATGACTGCCTGAAGCCCAGGGTCTCGTTCTTGCCACCAGAGATAAAACTATCAATTCTTTTGCGGCGGGACCACCCAAAGCCTTACTCAAGGCTCATTTGCCTCTTGTCAAAATATGTTTACATTTTTTCATTTCCACCTGTTTTAAGGTATTTCAGTGTGAATGAATCGTGTGCCCGGCGCTTTTAGCAAACACTGGGATTTGGTTGGGTTTTTTTTTTTGGGGGGGGGGGGGGGGTTGTCAAACAACGGGCCACTAGAAGCTTATTGCAGGATAACATTTTAGCCAAGCTGTGTGCAAGTTACTAACAGGTAATAGCATCCTTCCATGCAACTTGCGTGAAAAGGCTTGGAATGTGATTAAATCTAATTTGGATTATTTATATTTAAAAATTTTAGTACTTTTTAAGTGATGAATTTCATTTTAAAAAGTGATAGCTGAAATTGTTAGAAAAGTGGTTATTAGAATCAGGTTATTTTTGCAAAAGAGCTGTGGGTATTTGAAAATTTTTATTGGAATAATGTCATTTTGAAAGTGGAAAAAATGTAGCAATGTTTACCTGTCATGTTGACCCAATTTTGTTAATGTGGCATGCTTATGTGGCATTTATCTCACCTCTTTCGTGATGTCAGATATTTTAATAGGGAAAAAAAATGAGAAAATAGAAAACTCTGCCTTCCTCTTTCGTCTCAAAAGGGAAAGACCAAGGCTGAATGGAATTGAAATAAAACGGAAAAAAAAGAAGCAGTGAGCAATAGTGGATAGGATTATGAGTGTGAATTTGTTTAAGCACTACATGTTAATATGTGATACTTGTTATCAAAATGAAATTTGAACTATTTAAATTTAATTTGAATAGTTTGAATTTAAAAATTAAAATTTAAAATGAAAATTTTTTAAATGGCATTTGAAGATTAACTAACGTATTTTTCATTTCATATTTGAAGATATTTTTTCAAAAGTGATGCTCCGTCACAATGGAGGAAAATTGTGGGGTGTGTGACGAAGCAACCTGCATTCGGATCTTTGTCAATAGTACATTCACTTGCCGAGACTTTATTTGAATGTTCGAATTATGAGCACGGAGCAGAAGGAGTGGATAAAACAGGGGAGAATGAATTGTGTGGATAACGGTTGTACGAAGGGCAGATTCAGTGGATACAAATGAAACCGCCGAGACTGAGTACGTGGAAGCGTCGCATTGGTGCCTTGGCCCTGCCCTGTTTGTGACGTCCCCAGTTTTGGCATGCTTTGCTTTGGGGACCTGGCTTCTTCCCCCAGACCTATCACCACCATCCCCATACTATATGCCCATTAGAAATATCCGATTATTGTGGAATTTCATGGACTTCGATTATCAATAAATTTTTGCGCCTATACTTTTAGGAAAAATCATTTTAAAAGTGCCAGTATTTTTTTTAATTCTTAACTTAGTACCTATGTATTTTTCTCTCTTAATTAAATCTTTAATTTTGCTCTATTAACGTCATTAACTCTTGCAAAGAGACTAAAAATGCTGGTAGAAAAAGAATTACAAGAGCTAATGTTGTTAAAAAATAAAATTAAATAATTTAATTAAGATAAAAATACTTAGATACCAAATTAAAAATTGAGAGAAAGTATAAATACCTGTAATATAATATTCCCTACTTTTAATTAAGGGTATTCTCATAAATATGCACTGATTTTCTCTTCTTTATTATTATTTTTAGTTCTAAATATAAGAGTTAGGCTGTATTTATTTTGATCATAAATATATGATCTCAATTCATTTTTTTAAAAATATATATATTTGTTCCTTCATCAGGAGGTAATTATAACATGTGCAATTAGAAAGGATATTTTGAAGGAAAAACACATTTATTATAAATAACTAATTTAATTAATTATTTTAATATATGTAAATTAATTGTTTTACCTCTTATATTAAAAAAGGGAGAGAGTATAATATTAATTTGCAACAACTGAGGGAATGAGTGAGTGGAATGTGAAAGCATGGGATTGTTTTGCAGATGCGGGAGAAAGCAATGTCCGAAATAAAAGCGATGAACGTGACGTTACAAAGATGTTTTGTGAGAATTAGTCACCAACACTGCTCAACGTAACTGCTTTCCCTATCTTCTTATCCCTTTTCCATTTCTGCAACATCCAACATTCTGTGGTTCCTATTCAATTGTTACTTGCGTGAGCCTATCAAACTCGTTCAATATAATCCCCTGATATTTTCAAGAAAAGCGCAGGCCATATCATATAAGTCACGTTTGATACGAAGCATTAAAAATAAAGGGTAGAGATTTAAAACAGGATTGAGAAAAATCTATTAAAAATGTTTAGCATGAAAGATTATTTATTATATAGTATTAGACAAACTCATGTACGTGAGATTAAGAAATACTATAGAAGAAGATGGTATTCCCCAATCTTATCTCCATAAGTTTACCTGATTTCATATAATAAACAATTATTCATACCATATGCTCTTTTAATAATTTTTCTAAATTATAATTTCAACCCCTATCTTTCATTTTTAATACTCTATATCAAACGCAACAATAGAGTATTTGCATACGCAACAACACGTAGCCACGTCCCCACCCCCAAAAAAAAAACTATTCTGCCGTCCCTGCCACTAACATGTTGATAAGATAAGTTCAGTTCTTTGCATGAAATTGTGGCGTGACACGCAATCACCCGCCGTTAACATCCTTTCCTTAGTGTGTGCACACTGTACAAAGCAAACCGCACAATCTCATCAATTAATTCTTGTTCTTTCTCATTATGTTGCTGCTTTATCTCTTCACCCACTCAAATGCTCATATGAAAAGGACTACTCTTTCCATTTCAAGCCCAGACAGACAGAAGCAAACAAAACAACAGCAGGGTACATCCATGATGTTAGTTTGGTTGAAACATGATTTTGGGAGTTGGGTCAGTTAGTCGGGCAGACTTAAATCATAATACTGTTCCTTAATATTAATATAAAATCTCATTTGATTTTTATTTTGATTCTAAATATAAGACCCCAATCAATTTGGTCTTTTATATTTATCTATTTTTTTTTCAAAGATAGTTCTTATAATAATGGTAGTTCTAGCCAATACACTTGAATAGTAATAATATTTTAAGAAAGATGACAGTTTTTTTAATTTACTTAAATTAGTCAATTAGCTTTTATATTAAAGATCAGGATTGTAGTATGTAATTAAAACCAGAAAGCGCGCGGGCCATTACAAAACCAAAATCACCATTTTTATCTTCATCCTGTTGCCAAACCCTTGACAGGCCCAATGTATATAAATAGTGGGGGCAACCTCAGTCCAACACCATCTCGTCTTCTCCCGCCACACTTGGCTATTCACGTACGTTAGCTGAGCCCAGCAAAATGCTCTCCTTGTCTGATCACGACTTGGTTTTCATCTTTGGTCTTTTAGGTGTGTGGGTGTGTGTGTGTTACTTACGCTCCAATTATACGTTGTACTCGTTCACATAACAATTCTCTCCTTCATATATATGCTCTCAGTCTCCAGCACTGAACTGACTCTTTTTGCTGCGCTGAACGTACGTAGGTAACGTTGTGTCGTTCATGGTGTTCTTGGCGCCCTTGTAAGTAAACAAAAAGAAAGAAGAGATCGAAACTTGCTTACTATTATATAACTGAGGTGGTAATAGGCTGAGTTAGAAAACTAAATACTAATGAAGTTGTTATATGTGTACGCGCGTGGGTGGCAGGCCAACGTTCTACAGGATATGGAAGGGCAAATCGTCGGAAGGGTTTCAATCCATCCCATACGTGGTTGCACTGCTGAGCGCAATGCTGCTGCTGTATTATGGTTTCCTAAAGAGCAACGCCATCCTGATCATCACCATCAACGCCATCGGATGCGCCATAGAACTCGCTTACCTCATCCTCTACCTCACCTTTGCTACCAGGAAGCAGAAGGTGCGTGCCCAGTTGGCATATCTTCACTCTCATCTTGTGGCTTTCAATGTAATGTAATGTGATTGCAGATTTGGACTGTGGGGATGATGGGGATATTCAACGTGGGGGGGTTTGGGCTGACGCTCGTAATTTCCATATTGGGAGTGAAGGAATGGGAGCGCGTTCACGCCGTTGGATGGATCTGCGCCATTTTCAACATCGCCGTCTTCGCTGCTCCCCTGAGCATCATGGTGTGTGCGTGTGCGCGCGCGTTTATAATGTGCGGGTATAATTTAATAGCATGCATGCATGTATGTGACGATGAAGTCTTTAATTTGCAGAGGAGGGTCATCAAAACCAAAAGCGTGGAGTATATGCCCTTTACTCTGTCCTTGTCTCTGACGCTGTGCGCCGCCACCTGGTTTTTCTACGGCTTCTTCGACAAAGATTACTACATCATGGTGAGCAGTAGTTAACGTGATATATATATTTACACACGCACACACACGTGTTAATGTGTTTAATATTAACGAATGACGAGCACCGAGTGGAAAATAGAAATAAAGAATGAAGCTAAGCATGGATGGATGGATGGATGGACCAGGTGCCGAATGTGGTGGGATTCATGTTTGGAGCGGCTCAGATGGGGTTATACATCGCGTACAAGGACGCCAACAAGAAGGACTCCCAATCCAAAAGCATGCCGCCGGCGCCGCCTCAGCTCCCCGACGTCGTCTGACCTCTTAATTAAATAGCTCCTCCCCTCCCCTTCTCTTCTTTCTTTTCTCATGTACGTACATGTGGAATAAATTATCATTACACTTCATAATAATTTCTCATTCTCTTTTAATATTTATTTGAACGCAAACTTCTCACCCCCCCCCCCTCGAGACAACGCCTTAGCAAAGGCTCCCACCGCATCCCGCCTAGAGAGGATGGGGTCCTATATGATGATATGATATAATCTACGAGTCGAGCCGATCGTACGTGAAGAAACTGATATCTCCCCGGCCCCGTTCCCAGTTCCAATCCAGGGCTCAGCGCTATGCTTGTTTCGTTTCGCTTTAATGGAGCAAACCTCATTAGCTATCTCAAAATGAAAGTTAATTACCCGCTTACTTTTATTTTCGCTTGCATACACTTTAATCTAAAATGACTTTTACTCCCCATAAGCAGCTGCTTTTACTTCTCTTTTACCGAGTTTCAATTTGCAGAACTGACTCTTCTTTTCAATGATACATTCAAATGCGAAACAACACGCGCGCACGCGTATATTAGTGAACTGGGCTGGGCTTTCATTGATATATATATGCGCGAACGTGTATTTTTTTTTTTATCCACCCAGTTTACCGGAGCTTTCTTCCGACTATATCTGGATTCGATCCACGTTGTGTACCTGGCTGTGGTAGGTGAGTCTCCTAACGGAGATTTTCATATAAGCTGAGGTTCGAACTCGAAACCTCACTTAAACAGTACCAAGTCGCTTAGCACGTAAACTAACCCCTGTTCAAGCTTGTGACGGTGACACCTCTGGGCTTCTGGCCTTTCGGCTCCGATCAAGAGTAATGCCTCATCGGGCTGTCACCGGGACCGTTGCACATGCGTGTAATGTAAATATTACTATAACTACATTAATTTTAATAACGTGTATATGAATAAATTGGTTAATTTAATTTTTTGATAATGATATGTTTTAATTTGAACATCTAATTTTAATATTGATGATGATGGGATAAATGAAATATAAATAAACTACAAATTAATAAACAAGTCTCAATAGCAACTAAGCAGACTCTAAGCTGCACAAATCAAAACACGCCGCGTTGTTTATTTTGTTGTGGCCGGCAGCCATGTTATTAATTTCTTAAGTGGGCTGCAAAGACGCAATATAAGATATACTGTTACAGTCTCCTGTTAAAAGCCCTCGTCATTAGGATAACCTCACCGTCGACAATACTATATATAATGTCAAGTTTTATTTCTAGGAACTATTAAGAACCTTCGCGTGTGTCCTGAGCATCAATTGGTTCATCGGGGAAAACAGTGTAATGAAGTTTTGTCAACTAATTAATGTTTGGTAGCTGGGATCAAAGCATCATCAGAGAATGGGCACCCACTAGCCGACGAAGGCAGATGAAATAGACACAAACGCACAACTTTGAAGCCTGCTATTAAACAATGTAGTCCAGATATACATACAAGCTATACATGGTGGTATTAACTAATTATACATGGAGTTGCTGCCTCTGCCGTGCCTCCACAGTGGGTTACATCCATAACATTCCTTTCACGATTCATTCGTGTTTTACTTCCCTTCCTCACTGCGTCCTCCATCTTGTGGCGCCTTGTGCTTCATACACTCCCCCGCCACTTCTTCCTTTACGTATATACTACTGCTCTTTCGCTCTCATATATTCATATCACACCGCGTACCATTTCCACATCATGCCGTACGTCTCATCTCCTCCTACGACCACCTTCGTCAATTTGATTCCCTCCCTCCCCTCTCATTTTGCCCTCTTTAATTCCTTGCTCTCGTCGCTGTTGACAGTCTCATCGCCGACGTTCATGGCCCTCATTACTAGTCCCCCTCTTCATCCTCCTCATCGCAACTATCTCCAGCTTGATCCAAAAAAGTAAGGAAACTGAGAGCAGTTACGACGTCGCTCATCAAAGGACGGGCTCCCGCTTCCTCCTGCAGGCACATGGCTGCTATTGCCACTGCTTGATTCAGGTCCTTTTCTGGAAAATGCCTCTCCAGATCTGGATCCGCCATGTCCGGAAATCTTTTTGGGTCTTTGAAAAGGGGCACTGCCTGCTCGATTCATCACGACACAAAATGCAACTAGATATTAACGCCCCGCATCACTCTCGCAAGCAAGAGTAGAGACGTATTATAGTGTTAGAGAGAAATGACTTACCCACGAAACTAGGTTTTGTTCGTGGTTTGGTCTCGTGGTGTCGATGGCTCTCCGTCCAGTAATGAGCTCCAGCAAAATAACTCCAAAACTGTACACGTCCGATTTCAAGGTGACGTTACCTGTTGTTACGCACTCTGGGGCCGAGTATCCGTAGGTACCCATAACTATAGAAGGCGCGGGGTTGGCCTTGTGTCCCCCGGCAAGCTTGAACAACCCAAAATCTGAGAGTTTAGGGTTAAAGTCATCGTCCAGCAATATATTTGAGGATTTCAAGTCTCGATATATGACCGGCGGGTTAGCCTTGTCGTGCAAGTACTCCAATCCTCTCGCTGCATTATACGCTATTTTCATCCTAGTCATCCAATCCAATGGACGTTTATTTGGTCCGTTCTCTGCACCCACCCAATAGAAAAGCAAAGAAAAGGTGAATATGCGAATGCGAACTCCAAGATTAAAGGGGAAAAAAAATATTGGAGGGAGAATATTGGTTTGCAAAGTGGAAATGAGGGTACCGAGAAGGTGTTCTTCCAGGCAACCCCCTGCGATAAATTCGTAAACCAAAAGACGTTGATCCCCATCGGCACAATAACCGATGAGGTCGACTAGACTTTCGTGATGCAAGAGACTTAGCATCAAAACCTCGACCAGAAATTCCTTATTATTGCCTTGCACCCCGTTTTTGTCGAGTTGCTTCACAGCTACCACCTGAAAAACTCGAGACTTAGTAAACCGAAAGGAAGCAACCGGCATTTGGGGATTATATTCGCAAGACCAGACCTGGCCGGTCGCCGGAAGCGTGCCCTTATAGACTCTGCCAGAGCTGCCTTCACCCAGCAGGCATCCACGACGAAAATTCTTTGTTGCGGTTGCCAGCTCACGGAAAGTAAAAGGTTGCGCTTTTATACTTGCCGGATCAATTTGGCCTGGGTTTTCTGACTTTTGGTTCTTCACATCTGTTTGTCAACAATCCACCAGCTCTCAATCAATTTAATACGGCCATCTATTCTCATGGTTTTCATGCAAACCACAAGTGCCGATCAAATTTACGACTTTCAGGTCCTATACATTTATCTGTTTCATCTCCTCATGCTATTTTGAGATTGACGGTTGAATTCTTTTGTGACTAAATCAAATGCTAGAAAACAAATTATTGTTGTTCTTATTATTATTATTATTATTATTGATTTAGCAGAAATGCTCATAAAGAGAGGAGTGCTAGGAACTAACCGGGCGGTGTAGAAGGAATGTTTTCGTGCCGTGGGGAATCGTGCTCCATCTTGTTACGGCTTTTCTTTCTTCTGCGGGAGGAGAAACAGGGGAAGCAATTCATGGCACTAATACGAAGGCGCAAAACCAGAGGGCGAAGGGTCCTCCAAATAACGTTGAAGGAACCCGAGGGAGAGGAGCAGGGGATAGAAGGGCGGCCAGTAAATTAACATTACCATGAGAAGTACGTAGAAGAAGAAGAGGATGATGATGTCGATGTTGATGAAGAAGAAGAGGGCGATGTGCTTTGTGTGCGGGGAATGAAAAATGGAGAGGCTTGGTGAGAGCTGCGATAGGGGCAGGGAGATTTGAGGGGAGGGGGTTGAGGTGTGCTTTAGATGGATACCAAAAATTGTGGAATTTGTTGAACGTGTTGCAGAGCCAGGGTGGCTATTCATGGATGGTATCCAACTTCTGCTCTGTTTTCTTAAAATTGGTTATAATTTTGACTCTCACGCCATGCATTGCATCGCATCTTAATTCTTACCACTTTAGGGGGGAAAGAGAGTGTTTTTCTGGGAAAGAGAGAGAGAGAGAGAGAGGAAAAATGACGTTTAATTTCTATGTAAGGAATTTAATGGCAATCAATTTCCCCCGTCTGGCTAATTACGAAGTTGAACTCATTTTTGAGACGCTGTAAATGAATAACATTTAAAATAGAGAAAGTTGCATAAGGACGCTATCTAAGATAATTAAATATAAAAAAATTCTTTAAAAGCAAATTAATCTAAAGTTTCAAAAGACTTCGTTATAAAAGATTATATTTGTTTGTTTACTAAACTGTCCTTATCTTCTTCTTTTTTTTCATATGCGTTGATAACTAAAAAGACTCTATGCAATGATTAAGAATTATCATGATAGATATTAACAACTCATGTGTTAAATCCGTGTGATATACTAAGAAAACATGTTATTAATACATGTTGTAATAATTGCTAATCATTGTACTTTAAATTGTAAATAATTATCCTTTAATTTGTCAATGTATACTTTAAAAAAAATGAGGGCAGTTTAGTAATTCAATAAGTGGAATCTCTTACAATAAAATTTTATTGAGACTTCAAATTTGATGATTTCAAAGAATTTTTTGTATTTAAATTTTTTCTTTAAAATACTCTCCCTGACCCCCTTTGGCTGTTATTGGGACTTAAATCCAACAATTTAGTGTCAGGTTTGCTCCATCATGCTATTTCCTTTTCAGAGACATGCTAGCAGCATTTTCTACTCTAAACTAGAATAGGTCCTTGACATTATCTCTTCTACCCTGAAAGAATTTGATAAAAATGCATTAAGGTCCCACTCAAGATAATTAGATATAAATTTTTTTAAAATCATCAAATTAATCTAAAATTCTAAGAGATCTCATTGCAAATGACCTTCTTATTCAATTACTAAACTACTCTTATCTTCTTTTTTTTTTAAATATACATTACCAATTTAAAAGGTAGTCGTTAACAATTTAAGATGTAACTATTAACAATTATCACAACAAGTATTAACAACTTATGCATTAAATGCGTGTGATATGCTGAAAAAATGTGTTATTAATATCTCACGCGATAGTTGTTAATCATTGCATTTTAAGTTGTTAATAATTGCTCTTTCAATTGTCAGTTGGTACTTAAAAAAAAAGAACAATTTAATAATTGAACAATTAGAATATCTTGTAATAATTTCCTTTGAGAGTTCACATGGATCTGATGATTTTAAAAGACTTTTTATATCTATTTTTTTTAGGTGGGACCGCACTGTAATTTTCCCAAAGAATTTTCATGGAATTTCAAGATATCTTAGAAAGAATTCTCCAAAAAAATAAAACGCGTCACTTCCTTTAACTGGTTTTTTGAGGCCGCCGTTAATACCCCAAACATGTATACTTGCCACTTTTGAGTGCTGGATATTAATCCAGTCGTTTTAGAAAAATCATTCAAAGCTTTTAGAAGAATAATTTTATTGTGTGTTTTCTGTGGGGAAAAAAAGTTGCGAGAGCTGATAACATCTAATCTATTCATTAATTTTGGAAAGAAATTAGATTATAAACCCCTTATTTTATCCTCACGAATTATGCTTCTGCTCCTAATTTTTTATTAGATATATCGATATTGATTATTTATATTTTATACCGATTCCTACAAATTTTATATTACATGCTGAAAGTTGATGCGTTGATTGGGTGATCACAACATAGAACAATGCATGTTAATTAACTGCGCACAGATGAAGGACTTCAAACGGGAGAACACGCTTAAGATTTTAGTTTAGTCTGGGCCTAGCCCCTCAGAGTTAACCACTCCACCCCCCCCCCCCCTTTTTCTTTTTCCAACCAAAAAAAAAAGAAAAAAGGGAGGATAATCATATGATATGATTTTAAGCGGGAAATGACGAAAAATCCACCTCCGGCGCGGGAGTTAACGAAAACTTGCCCCTCACGCCTCCAAGGGCATCTCCGATGACTGCATTCTCTCACGCTTTTCTTTTCTCCATCTTCATTATCTTTTCTGGAAAGGAAAGAAGCAGTAATGAAAGGGCTTAACCCTTACCCGCCTCCTTCACCCCACGCTCGTCATTCATTTGTGTCCTCTCTATCGGAATTACTCTTTTTCTGTTCACTCAGTGGCAATTCTCCCCTGCCTCCCTCTTCTGATTCGTCCAGTGACATTTCAGTATCTTTGGATGCCGAGAGCATTGTCAAGAGCGTTAATGCCACTACTTAAGGTATTTTTTCTTTTTCTTTTTTAAATTTTGAGTTAATACTTCTATCTCTCACGTTCTCAGGGAGTCTATATCATAATTGTAATGTTCATCCCCTAGGACTCGACTCTATCATCATCATCATTATTATTTGAGATTTTGGAAGAACCAAGGAGGTAACGTTCAGCAATTTATGGATTTCTCTGGTGTCATCATCATTATTATAATTTTAGGATTTTCCTATGCTCTTACAGCTACTTTGGAATAAACTCGTTTTTACGCCTTCTCTTTGATGCCAGACTTGTGACTCCTACAAGGAGATCTTCACAGATAGCCTGTTTATTTATTTATTTTCTTTGTGCCCTTTCCGTCTTTATTGCAGAGGATATCTTATCTGCGCTCATCTATAACCTATATCCCTGCTTTCTTAACCTATCATTCCTGTAAGATTGATGTTTCATGTAGACAGGAATTCAACTGCTAACATGCCATGGGAAATAATTACGTCCGAACAACAAGAAGTGGGTCAGAGTCAGCGTAGTAGCGCAGCAAAAGTCAAACAAAATATAGATCGTGAGCAATGGCCGCTAAATTCTTCGATGAAAAAGTTCCTCTTTATAATAAAATCAAAGTGTGATAGGTGATGCTGGACTGAACATACTGTATTAAAATTTGTAGGATCTCTTTTTCACCGGATATAGACACTGGCGGTTAATAGTTGGTTTATCTCAGAAATATATTTGTAATTTCATTGGAACATCGCGATTAATCTATTTCTTCGTTATAGCAATACTATATTATTCACTGCACTTGATGACATTCATTTCAAATGCCTTGGATCTGCTAAATTTGATTATGAATTATCTCTGTAATGCACTTAAGTTTTCTGTTTGCTTTATTTTTTGTATCCTCAAGAACTTGTTACAACATTGCAGGTGAAGTGGCTAAAGCAAGTTGCTATGGTTCAGGATGACGGTACTGTTGCAGTTTAAGTTCCAGTAGACATTAAGCCACAGTTTCTTGACTTCGGAACTACTGTTATGTATAATGAAGAATCTGGTGAGGCAACAGATGTTCAAAATATTCCACCACTTCAGATTGTAATGCTTATTGTTGGCACGCAGGGAGATGTTCAGCCATTTGTTGCCATTGGGAAGCGTTTAGAGTTTTTTTTTTTATTTTTTTCGCATTACTATTTTTTGAATTGTAGTTTTCAAGAAATATTCATTTGAATGAATTACATGTGTTGCATATAATTGCTTTTCTGGCATGCTTTAGGAAAGACGTACAATTGGGATTTTGAAGTGGATTAACTAATGCCAGCAAAGTTGCATAACAGGAACTACTGTTAGAAATGAGACGCTCTGGAGACTTATTATCAGTCTTATCTGGTCTCATACTGGAGCCACAGCATAAGAACTCCATGTAATCTGAAGACTCGCATGACATTGTAATTCTCTCTGTTTGTGTTTTGCATCTATGTCACATCTTGAACACAGAAATTTGACGTTAAGCATACATTCGATAAAACTTCCTTTTTTTGTGATGAAGTCTTTGTTGATAACTTTTTTGTAAACTATACAGAAGTGTTGTCATTGTTCTTTAAGTGAATGTTTTATTTGGACTAGCTTTTAATGCCATGCTAATTTGCTCTAGATGATTTTCTCATGCACTCCCCTCACCACCTCCAACCCTCACAACATCAAAACGTCCGTTTTCTTTTCTTTCTAAAGTAATTTAATCTGAAAATCCTTTTTTCCAGTCTGCAAGGGAAAGGAAACTTTTCAAGGAATTTAAGGTTTTAACAAACACCTGCATGGGATAAAAGCATATTTACGTATGATTGACTTAAACATATTTAAGGCTTTAATGAGCACCTGTATGGGATAAGAGAATGCTTACATATGATTGACTTAAACATAAAACTGTGGCTCTTGCTTATACTTAGAAATTACTATAGCCGGTCCCAAACATCCAGTCATTTCTTCTCACTCTTTATGAAACCGTCAGCTGCTCTTATGGTCCTCCTGTCGTCGTCGTCGTCATTGTTCTCTAGTCCTTGATGCCTTGACAACTCTATAGGTCAGTTTTAATTTTTATGCAATATAAATTGATCATTGTCAATGTTTTGTTTGCGGGAATATGGCCATAGGATTAGGCTTGCTTCGCATAAAAATTTCAAAGATTTTGTCTTGAATGTTGGCTTGGAGTTTTTCATTTTAGGTGGAGATCCCAAAATTCTTGCTGGGTGTAAGTTTTTAATCTCTTATTTAAATACAATGTTGCTAGATTATTTGTTTTAATAATTCTATACTTAATGTACAACAGAACCTGGTAACAGCTTGAACTAAAATGATCTTCTATGGCGTTTGG